GGCGTGCCGACCATCTTTAGCAAGTAGGATGTCCCTCTTCTTTCTATCTTTGTTGTATCCATCTTGGTTCTGATCCTCAAATTGAATTGCACATAGACTAAATCGCTCAATCTCTTGCTATCGAGTCTATTCCTTTTCTTTGTGTGGATCTACAATTCAAACATAAAAAAAATCATTTCTCTCAATATATTATTTATTGTTCAATGACTTCAATCTCATTTTTAATATGAATAATTGAATTTGGAGGAGCTACCTATCAATTCAATATCCTAAGAGCCATCATTTGCATGTAAGGCATGTCTTCACCAAATGTGTCCCGCCAACGAACTGTTTAAAGAGAATAAATTAAATTAATCAATTTCAAAACTAGCAAATAGTAGAATCAAATTATTATATCAAAATATAAGTACACAACTTAATACCTGGATTACGGTCCTCGGCAATTCTCTTCACCACCCTATGCTCTTGGTTTCCATGGATGAAAGTATCACAGTCCCTATACTCCAGCATCTCAGTGGAGTAGATGGTATCAATAATATCCTCATTAATAGTATTTTCATTCCTAAAAGTAGCTCAGCACAATCAAGAATTGCTTGCTTAGTCTCTGCACTCTTCATCCTCCGCATAATAGAAAAGAAGATTTTGGAACCATGCAGCCAGGTGAAGAGGACTATCAAGTCTACTCTTAGCATGCCTCTCTATAATGGATATGATAGGCGTATAGTTCTTATCTATATTGCAAGCAACCATGATTTCCCTCTTCATAATTTGAAGCTTTCCAACAATAATCCCATTTAGGGATAAGTATCTGAATCAACCATGTCGAGGAACTTGAAAAGAGACGTGAAGACCTTCAAGCAACACCACACACCTCTCTAAAAGGTTCTCGATATCACCGTAGTATTTGTTGCAAGAGCTTTCTTCTTTGTAACCCTAACAAACTTTAAACTCCGAAACTCATCAGAGTTAAATATAGTCATCAATGCATCTTTCTTTTCTAGCAAGTTCCCTAGTGTGAGGAATGAGGTAGCAAATCTAGTAGTGTCCGACCTGACAATGTCTTTCCTTGTGCACTTATGCATAAGTGCCAAAGTCTTAGGGCTTGTTTGGATTCGTAGGGGGTGAAGGGAAGTTAAGGAAAATTGAGTGAAGGGAAGGGAAGGGAAAGGAAGGGAAGGGAAGGGAATTCCCTTCCCCTTGGTTACACCCCAATTTGGGGGGTAACAATTTTTATACTATTAGGGGGTGAACCAAGGTGAATGGAGGTGAATTAACTTCACCTCCTAAGTGTTCCCAAATAAGGTGAATGGTTCCCCTAACTTCCCTTCACCCTCATTCCCCTTAATCCAAACAAGCCCTTAGTGTGGCTATAGATAAAAACAGTCAACGCCATCGCCTTCTCAATTGTATTCTTAAATTTTGTTAATTTTTCGATGTCCTACAACATTAGATTAGTTGTGTGCCACACAATAAGTCCAAAAATTTCTCGCCCTCTCACTTTTTAGCTTCTCCTTTGCAGGCTTGCAGCTATATTTGCCGAGTGATTATCTGTGACAACTTGTACAACATAGTCTGTCCCTATCTCTTTGATGCACTGATCAACCCACTTAATGATAAAATCTTTGATATGAGAATCAACGGACTCCTCTATCGAGTTATAGAAGATAACATCAGCACTAGAATGAATGCACATGTTCATAACACATCTGTGCTTTTGATTAGTTCACGAATCTGTCATCAATATGCAGCCGGTAGTCTCCCAAAGCGTTTTATGTGGCTCCAAACCAACTGAAGGGCGAGCTACTGCCTTTGTTAACAAAGGCTTCCTCAACTGATATATCATCGGTCCCACATAGCTTGGACCAAACTGGCCAATAGCTTCAAACATATTGCTGTACGAAGGGAGCGTTAATGCATGAAATGGAATTCCTGCTTCATAGGTCTAAAGAGAGACCCATTCGTGGACCAACTCATTTATTCTTTTGCGCTCAAATGACTATTGTTTGCTTCATTGTTGTAGATGATGCAGGCTATGGCAAGAATGTAGCATATCAATGGATAACTCCAAAATCACTTGTTTCCGATCTGAGTGATTTCTTCTGCACTCTCGAGTCTAGGTTTAGAAATATCGACCTCCTGCCTACACTCAATCTCATATCTTATTTTGTCTGACTTCTTGCTCTTACTTTTAGGTATTGTTGCTTTTAACCTTGCTATAATGTCAGGCGTCGCTTTCTTACATGGTTTTGTATTCCCTCGACTACCAGTTGAGTGTTCTTTATAGTTGAGTGTTCTTTATGGTGGGAAATGCCACCGGTGGATTCATGTCCACATGGAGTGCACTTGATCTTATTCTTCTTAGGCCATTCTGGACAAATTCTCCAATCCCACCCAATATCATCTAAAGGACGCGGATGTGGGTGTTGAACTGATGCTCGAGCCTCGGCAACTAGATTTGGTTAGCTCTAGGAGCTATGTAACTCTTGCTTTTGAGAACTCATCAATGGACAAATAACAAGACAAGTACTTAATTGAAAATGATTAAATGAAAAACTGATTAACTGAGGTTTGAAAACATGCTAATAGCAAAATTACAGTTTAATAGTTTATACAATTGAGATTTGATTTGAATTTGTAAAGCTCAACTTGAAAAGTGAAATATATGGTTATGTTTATAAGTGAGCATAACAACCGAATGCATAATACTAAATGAATTGACCCGGGAACAATATCTAAAAGTTGAAACAGCTTAACACGGTTTAATTTTACAAACACCTACATCATCTCCGCAAAGTAAACTAAACTTATAATTTAAATGAAAACTAAACTTCATTAAAAGATAAGTTAAATGAAATGAAATATTATCTTTAACAATAAAATTGTACATGAGCTGAAGCATAATATTAGTTTATATTGAATTATGAATACTAAAGAAGAAGCTTACGATTACAAAGCAACCAGGCAAACAAAGGGACAAATATCTAACTTCCATTACAATCACATCAAAACAACTACTTTATTTATCAGAGATAGAAAATTATCACAGTTTTCTTCGAATGATCAGCTAAGCTAGCAATACAATTTACATTATTGTTATTATTATGAAACGTAGACTGAAGGAATTGCCAGAAGCTAATGTTCTAAATTGAAGATAATTCCACATGGAGCAAGAATATTAAAAAACAGTTGATCGAACAAATAACTTCGTGGATCAAAATTCAGAATCAATTTGTACCTTATTCTCTCTGTTGCAGCCGAGCCCAACAGAGAATGGAGATGATGGTGCTGTTGGAGAAGGTCGCCAGAGATGGTGGAGACTGGAGATGGTGGAGGAAGTGCTCGAGCTTCGGAGATGGAGCTCGACAGAAGGTTTTGAATCTTTTGATGGAGGCGCCGGAGGAGCTCGACAGAAGGATGAAGGAGGCGTTGGCTAGGGTTTTCTCTTTTCAGTTTTTTAATCGAGGCGGTGATAGAGAGGAGAGAGAAATCATCAGGTTTTAAGATTTGAAATTGGGTCGGGTTCAGATAGGGTGTATGATATAAGAAAAAGAGCTATTAGCACTTAAACATGCTTTTAAGCGGTAAAAAGCGCTATTTCGCGCAATTAGGCGCTACTGCAAGCAAAAAGCAGATTCTTCCGCAATCACCCACCGCCAACCATGATATCATAGATGTTACCCACCGCTACCACAATTCGCCCCGCTATAGCGCTGCTATTGAGTGCTTTTTGCAACATTGGTAAGGAGTTTTTTTCAATTATAAAATTTAGTAAAAGTCAATTATATTCAACAATATAGGCCTCTTTTTAAAATACATGCCATGAAAAAATAGAATTTATTTAACTAGTTGGCTTACAACTTTGCCCTAACTTAACTAGTTATTCAAATAGTAATGGACTTTTGAATTGGGCCCATTTGCACTCGAACTTAACATGATGTTAGTGAATGGGTCTTGTATTGAGCTTGCCTGCACTTCTATTAATTAGATAACTTAGTCTACATAGATTAAGTGTATACCTTATTTATTTTTTCCAAAAATCTCTTGCGGGGATGCTTTTTTGTGCAGCGGGGGGGGCGCAGGGGGGGGGGATGGCCCCCTCGTAACCTCTACTAGCTTTGCCAATGACTACTATGAGTCAGACGGAGTGAAACTATTGGCTTATTGGGTTTTTTATCCAACCTTTGTTAGGGTAAAAAAGTAAGGAGAAATAACTTAGTGGAGCTGTCGATTATTGGGTTTGTAACCCAAATCTTATTTGGTTTGTGAAGAGGGGCGTGGCCTCCCTTTGCCCTCCCCTAGCTTTGTTAGTGACTATCGTGAGTTAGAATTGAGTGGAATTCTCGGCTTATTGGGTTTTTTTAACCCAAACCTGGTTAGGTTTGGTAAAAAAGTAAGAAGAAGATTGGAGCTATTGATTATTGGGTTTTTAACCCAAATCTTATTGGGTTTGGGGAAAAGTGAGGCATTGTGTTACATGCTCGGATGCTCCCTTGTGGGTGCTCAAAGAGCATCTAAGGCGTTTCAGCACACATACCTGAGTTTGCAAAGCACCCCACGTCATTAGATGCAAGGGTGCTCGAGCTCGTGCTGAAGCGCCCAACACTTAGAGGCGCACACATAGTATTACCTCTTATAAACTGGTGCCAATTTATCTTGCACTTTGGCACTATATGAATGTGATTCTCTCTGTTCAAAGGATGGTAAAGAATATAATTTGATTGTGCACAATCAGCACAACTTACTTTTCTTTGTTAGTAAGGGTGTGTTTGAAAATATTCTTTTGTTGACGCTCCAAGATTCATAGATCTCGAATATTTGATGAAAAACCATAGAATGCTCATCGTGTTATTTTAGTTTAAAGCATGTATAGCTATTAATTCCTCATGCTTTACTGTTTTATTAAGAAGCTCCAGCTCCATATTCTTTTTTGATAAGATTAGTTCTTTTTCATAATATTTCTTCTCTTACTGTCTTACAAGCATCTTTCTTTTATCCCTAAGGTGTTGCCTTCATTGAGAGAGAAGCATGATGAGTTTATGTTAAGGGAGCTTGTGAAGAGGTGGACAAATCATAAAATTATGGTCAGGTGGCTTTCACGATTTTTCCATTACCTTGACCGCTATTTCATTGCGCGAAGGTCGCTCCCTGCACTTAATGAAGTTGGGCTCACTTGTTTCCGTGATCTGGTGCATAGATCTATCTGTTATCGTCTTTCTACTTCATCAATTCAACTTCTATTTTGTTTGATTTAAGCATGCATCATGTACAATATCTTCAAAACATTATGTTTGCAATTTTCCCACAGTGCTTCTTTGCATGTGCAGAATTCTCTTGTTCTCTGTGTAACTATAAGAAGTTCCTATTTTATTTCAGGTCTATAACGAGATAAATGGAAAAGTTAGAGATGCTGTGATCTCACTGGTATGAACCTTCCTTTCACCATTTACTAGGATGCCAATTTATTCTGGACTTGCTTTTATAAACAAACTTTTTGGAACAGATTGACCAGGAGAGGGAGGGTGAACAGATTGACAGAGCTTTGTTAAAGAATGTCCTGGATATTTTCGTAGAAATTGGTTTGGGGAGTATGGATTCTTATGAGAATGATTTTGAAACAGTAATGCTTAATGATACTGCAGCTTATTATTCACGGAAGGCTTCAAACTGGATTCTTGAGGATTCATGTCCGGATTATATGTTAAAGGTAGTTCTTTCTGCAATTTGCATTGACTGAGGTGAAGATGAACGTTTTGTTACGCTTTGCGGTTATTTTCAGGCTGAGGAATGCTTGAAGCGAGAGAAAGACAGGGTTGCTCATTACTTGCATTCTAGCAGTGAAGTCAAGTTGTTAGAGGTCTGTTACAATCACGCTTAGTATCCCTTTGTGCATAACCTTTCCCATGTCAGTTTCCTTACCAGTTCTCCTTTTAGCAATAGCAGTTTTTAAAAACATTAAAGTAACTAGTATTAATATCGATTTTTCAGACTTAAACCTTTTCCCACATACTATTCTGTTTATTATGTCTACAGAAAGTGCAACATGAGCTACTTTCTGTGTATGCAAGTCAACTTCTTGAGAAAGAACATTCTGGATGTCATGCATTGCTTCGAGATGACAAGGTTTTAATTGATCCTGAAACTATTCCTTTGAATATATCTAATACTCGTTTGACTTCCTCAAGAACCTCAATTTATGTTTTAGGTGGAAGATCTGTCCAGGATGTATCGGCTCTTCTGTAGAATAACTCGTGGTTTAGACCCTGTTTCTCTAATATTTAAGCAGGTATGCGCTTGACTTTTTCAATTTTAAGCAATCACTGGAATTATTTATTTATTTATTATTAATTATGGTTTCTGAATCTTCCTTGACTCAGCATGTTACAAGCGAAGGTACAGCCTTAGTCAAGCAAGCAGAAGATGCTGCAAGCAATAAGAAGGTTCGTTTTCTATGTATTATTATTTTTTCATTTGTATACTGTTCTGTTGTTTTATATGCTTGTCAATTAATTTTGTATTTGATTCTAGGTAGAGGTGTTGCATGTTGCTTTATCTTTGGGAGGGTGGGGGGACTTATTTGATGCTGGTTTTAGCCTAATGCAATTCTTGTAACTTGTGTCTTATGGGTTATCCTTTCTATTGCTAATAAGTCTCTTTGTTCTTTCATATTTATATTTATAAATTAAGTAAACTTTTTGTGGATTTATACAAATGATGTAACCATCGCTTTGGATTATCCTTTTCGATTTTTGTTTCAATTACCGGCTGCTTTTCTTGGGTGGCTTTCTCAATGTCAACTTCCCTCTACTCTCCTTCATGATTGTTGACTATGGCTGGCAAAGCTTGATTTGTACTTCGAGAACATGACCTTTTGATCTTTTTCATATTTGCCAAATGCGCCGTATACTCCTTACTGTCATCCTTGTATCATATATGCTTTTCTAACACCACATGTAGTTGCTTATATTCAGACCTAGCTGCTACTTTTGAAATGTGTTTGACCTCTTGAGTTAAAGTAGTTTTTTTGTCAAAGATTTATATTTTATAGTCTTTGCTTCTGGCATTAAGTGTGTCTGATTCACGTTTCGAGTTTCATCCCCCCCCCCCCCCCCCCCCCCCCCCCCCCCCCCGCGTTGCCTTATGCCAAGTATATATCATCATCTTAAGACTGAAATGGAGAGACATTCCTCGTGTTTGCTCATCATAATAAGATGCGGTAATACTAGAATTTTCGCAGATGTTTGATGCATTGTGTTAACCTAACAAAATAAAGAAAATTTTCTTAGGTATAAGCATAACTGCAAAAGAGCACTTAGAGGGCTGATAACTGAACTTTTACCCTATGGCTTTTTTTGAGTACTGGACGAGCTGATATGCAAGAAGTCTGCTCATCCTTGAGTCTTTTATATGTGAAAATAGTAGCTTCCATTTGAAACTTGAATTGTTCCCATTACATTATCTGCTCTTATATCATGAGAACATTTCACTAAAAACTTAGCTCCTGCACCTCATGAAAATCTAACTTCTGCAAAAGCTTAAGCTTTCCAACTATGGTCTAATAATGTCTATCAAAACATTTGAACACGTTACGTTACTGCCATCTAGGAGCGTGGACACATGCAAGCTGATTGTTTATTCGATAAGGCATGAATACTTACAAATTCTAAAGAAAATTAGCAAGCAGTAATGATCAAGCTACTTGATGTCATAATACTCATGTAGTCAATGTTCTTGCTTCCCAGGCTCCCACTGGAACAAAATTCCAAAGGTGGTGAGGTTGGTAGATAATGTTACAGTCCCACTGTAGTTGACGGAGCTTCCTTTTCATTATTTTGTTATAAGCTTGTTGATTTGCGTGAAGTTGGCAACATTTTCAAACATGTGGTTTTTCTCTACTTCCTTTTAGATTGCATTAATTTTCTTTCAATATATTTTGCTTACCTTGTTCTGTTCTATTGTGTTCAGGCAGAGAAAAGAGACGTGGTTGGTTTGCAAGAGCAGGTTAAGCACGTTCCTTATATCTGAATTTAATGTTCGACTTCAGGTAGATTTTAATCCTGTTAAATAACTTCATTTCTGAAATTCAGGTTTTTGTTAGAAAAGTCATTGAGCTGCATGACAAGTATTTGGCCTATGTGAATGACTGCTTTCAGAATCACTCCTTGTTTCACAAGGTTTGTATATGAGATTTTAATTTGAGTTGCATCTTTGATTCATACCCTAAATTCACTTCCTAATCTCCTCACAGGCACTTAAAGAGGCTTTTGAGATTTTTTGCAACAAAGGTGTTGCTGGAAGCTCAAGTGCTGAGTTACTGGCTACTTTCTGTGATAACATACTGAAGAAGGGTGGAAGTGAGAAACTAAGTGACGAAGCCATTGAAGAGACTCTTGAAAAGGTTACTTAATTTAGATGTTTTGAGCCCTACTATTTTTGCTGGGAATTGAACCATTAAAAACTGCCCTGTCTCCTTTTCCTTCTCCTTATTTCTCTGATCTTTTTTTTTTCTTTTTGGCCATGTTTTTTGGTTTTTTTCATGCCTTAGACATATGCATGATTCTTTGTAGCAAATTTCCTCATTTCCACGACCTTCTAGACTTGTTAAGTTGTAGCATAATTTTCAAGGGTTTCTCTTTGGTTGCTTCAGACACAAACTCCAATAATGTGGTTTTTCCTACCTCTGGGCTTATGTCTTCTATTATAATGCAATCCCTTTAGGGCGTGCAATTGGATTCAGTTTTTTCATTTTGCGTTTTATTCGTTCAATAAATTTGAAACACGAATAATTATTGCACCTTTTTCTATTTTACCTTGTGTGTGTGTGTGCGTTCTCGCGCGCACGGAGTATCCAGCTTGCATGTCTACCAAACCCTTTACCATAAAGAATTAATAAGTACACATCTAGCTTTTGTTTTGAGCTCCGTGCTCATCCTGTATGTGCAAGCAGCATGCTTTTACTCATGGCTCCTCTTGTCTTCTGTCATCAACAACCCATGAACATACAAACATTCTTCTTCATTATAACAATAATATCTTTTGACGTTCACCACAAGTGCAAAAGATTAGTCAAATTATATGGCAACTTCCCTTACACTATTTCCAGCCGTTAAGTGGATGCCAACTCATAGGGTTGCTGTAAGATTGATTGCCGTCCAGCTTGTACAATTTGTTAGCAGTTGTCATGTAGCCTTCCCGATGCAGAGATGAGATCCATAGCTTGTCGCCAGAATGTCCCTTGTGAATAGTCTGACGGCCCAATATTGTTGGCTCTTTTCGTTTGGGCGATATTATTTCTGGATGGGTTTATTTCCTATGTTTAATTATCTTTTGTCACCTGGTCTTGCTCTCACTCAGTAAGGGGCTCCACAAGTTTCTTTTGGTATTTTTAAGATATTGGTTTGCATTGCTGTTGGACTAATGTCTTTATAGTTTATGGACTAATGTATATATAGTTTATGTCTGACCTGCGGTCAACACTCTTGGATGTCTTCATTCCTCTTGTTGTAATGAAGTTTGCAATACTTTTCAGGTTGTTAAATTGCTTGCATATATTAGTGACAAGGATCTATATGCCGAATTTTATAGGTATCGTTCCTTCTTTAGCATATCATTTATGTTTTTGGTTAATGTGACATAATTAGTACTCTTCCTGTTGCTGCCTTTACTTAACTGTAGTCCTCCTCCTATAACTAATGAAGGAAAAAGCTTGCTCGAAGGCTACTGTTTGACAAAAGCGCTAATGACGACCATGAGAGGAGTATCTTAACAAAGCTGAAGCAGCAATGTGGAGGGCAATTCACATCAAAAATGGAGGGCATGGTTTGTTTCTATGAACTGATTTGCTTAAAATTAGCTGAGTTATTATTCATTTTTTTTATTTTCTATTTTATTTCATAGGTTACGGATCTAACACTTGCAAGAGAAAACCAATCAAGTTTCGAAGAGTATCTGAACCAGAATCCTCAAGCAAATCCTGGAATTGATTTGACAGTTACTGTTTTGACTACTGGGTTCTGGCCAAGTTACAAATCTTTTGATCTCAACCTCCCAGATGAGATGGTATCTAGTTTCTTCTCTTCTGCTGTTCTTTTTTAGAAGCATATGGATACTTGAAAGTCCCATCTGCTAGGCTGCTAGCTAGTCTGCAGTTACTTTTTTTAATTTTCAACTTTGCATATGGATCTCTTTTTCAGTAATCACGGATAAGATATCTAGGTAATGACGTGGGGATAAGTATCTAATTCTGTTTTGATGTATTTAGGTTAAATGTATAGGAGTTTTCAAAGAGTTCTATCAGACAAAAACCAAACACAGGAAGCTTACATGGATATATTCATTGGGCACATGCAACATCAATGGAAAGTTTGAATCCAAGACGATAGAGTTGGTTGTGACTACTTATCAGGTATTTTAGAGGTATTAAGCCTTCTCTGATTATTTGTTTGTCTGTGATTCTAATGTGCAAGCCTGCTGTGTTTAACAGGCTGCAGCATTGCTTCTTTTCAATTCCTCAGATAGGTTGAGTTATTCTGAGATCATGCAACAATTGAACTTGTCAGATGATGATGTTATCAGGCTGCTTCATTCTCTTTCATGCGCAAAATACAAGATTCTTAATAAAGAACCAAATAACAAGTCTATTACTCCAAATGATCATTTTGAGTTCAATTCCAAGTTTACTGACAAAATGAGAAGGATCAAGGTTTGTTCTGTCCTCACAAAGCTATTGCATGTTTGTTGTTGTTACAATCTTGTAAGTATCTATCGACATTACATGTTCTTTTTATAAACTATAGATTCCCCTTCCACCTGTTGATGAGAAGAAGAAAGTAATTGAAGATGTAGACAAAGACAGAAGATATGCAATTGATGCATCAATAGTCCGAATTATGAAAAGTCGGAAAGTTCTGGGTCACCAACAGCTAGTGATGGAATGTGTTGAGCAGCTCGGTCGTATGTTCAAGGTATCAGAGCATTTCCCTTCATGATTTAGTAAAGTACATACCTTGCATCATATACCAAGAAATAGACCTTTTAGTTGAAGAAAACCTTTAAAAAATAGATAAATCTTGTTTTGACTATTTTGGCCAACCAATATGAAGGAGTTTTTTTTTTCTTTTTTATATAGTTTCCTGATTTAAACTTCACAATGTGATTGTTCTGCAGCCTGACTTCAAGGCAATCAAGAAAAGAATAGAAGATTTGATCACCAGAGATTACTTGGAAAGGGACAAGGACAACCCAAATGTGTTCAGATATTTGGCCTGATTAACATCAATTGGAGGTTTTCTTTATGCTTCTTTTCATCTGCCTTCGCCCCCTAGATGCTACCAATAAAGCATAATGCTTGGAATGATGAGCCGAGGGCTGTTCTGTGGAGGCTTTTCTGCTGCTAGGACGTGTTTGCTTGCAAATGTGAAGTCGTGGGACCTTCATGCACATTTGTCACGAACCAGGTTTTAGGCATATTCATACTCCAAGGATCTCACAACCGGGGACTTAGGATCCGTTCAAGTGCAGCTCGTTTTTTATGCCCCTTTGCTATTACTGATTCCAGTAGGTTTTCTCTGCTGCCTATTTGATGTTGTGTTTATAACGTAGTCCAGTTCAGTGGCCTAGTTGTCGACATGCCCATGCATAAGATTGTCTCCTGACCTTGCTCTTTTATACGCTAAATGCGACTTTGTATCATGTATATTTACTGCAGTAACATACAGAGGTCTCTACCGCTTAACATTGTTATTTTGGTCGTCCGTTTGGGTTTTATTTGTCTTGTCAGTTTTGGAAGTTTGTCTAGGAACCTGAAAGATCTGTCTCTGTAATATTAGTTTAGTGCACCGAGAGCTTGTTGCGAAATCCCGTACGTTGAGATTCCTTTCGAGCATAGCATCTAGTTGGCAATGCTTCAACGATGATGACCGGTGCACTTTTATGGGTAAACAACGGCTTTGTTTGGATATCATTGTGTTTTTTTTTTGTTTCCATGGTGTTTTTGTCAAAAACAAAACACAATGCGTTTGAAAACCATGATGTTTTTTAAGCTAAATCATCCTCAAACCAAAAACACAAAACTTATTTTAAAACACATTTTAGGTGTTTTTTGGTGTTTTTGTTTTGAGTTTGAGAATGTGTTAATATAATAACATAATATATTAAATATAATTAATACATAGTTATTATCAATATTTATTATGTTATACTGTACAACCTTATAGTCAATTTAATATAATTGCAATATTTATAAATAATATAAAATATATTAATAAGTAAAATATCTTACATAATAATATAATAATATATTAAATACTAAGATTTAATATGTTGATAATGTATTATATAATAATATAGTTAACATAATATAATAATAAATAATAATAAAATATAAATAAATTAATAAAAAAAATAATAGAAGTTATTAATAATGATATAATAATATACAATACAATATCATAATCACTATAATATTACTATTTTTTTAATATATAATATATATAAAAAATGGGAAAATTGTTTCTAGGCCCTAAATTTAAACTTTCAATGTGCCACAGCCCCTCCTATTTTTTTTAATGTGTTTTAGCTTTTTTTTTTGAAAAAATATGCCCAATGCTTAGGGGTGCCAAACCGTATCCATATCCGAGGAAATATCCGTAACCGTATCCATTAGGATACGAATATGGTTACTCAAATCTATTACCGATAGGATATGGTTGCGGATATGGTTTTGTAGTGAAATATCCGTATCCGTATCCGAAAATATCCGAATACATATTGGTAATACTCTTACGATAGTTTCGATTCTTAGATTATGGATTTGTGGTTAATTTTGATGATCAAGATGTCTAATCTTAGCTTTTCAATCATAATGAACATATTAACGAACTCTTTTTGTATCACATGACTATATTTTTCTGAATACTATCTAGTTTTCTCATATCTTTTTTGTATCCACATGCATATCCGTTTATATATCCGCATCTATATCCGTAACCGTATCCGATTTTGGCGGATATGGATATGAATTTTTCTTACCGACGTATATCTGTATCCGTATCTGTATCCGAGATGGGTAAGCGAATATGGATATGGTAAGTGTCATATCCGAGCCGTATCTGCTCCGTTAACACCCCTACCAATGCTCCTCCATCATGATTCTACATCATGCCAGCAGTTGATTAGACATGCTAACTTATGATTAGACATGTCAGCTGGCTTAAATCCTAAATTTACCCTCCTCTTTCTCATGTCAGCGGATGTTAACTTTTACAGCTAACATGTTAACTGTTACAGATAACATGTTAACTCTTACAGATAACATGTTAACTCTTACAGATAACATGTTAACGCTTACTAATGTACCCACCCGAAGTTTCTCGGGACGGCGCAGGCGACGGAACAGGGGAGGGGGCGGAGGGGGACTAGAGGAGGAGAAGGGAGGTGTAGGGGGAGGTCGGAGCGGGGGAGGGAGGCAGAGCTGGGGAGGGAGGCGGGGGCAAGGGCAGAGGAGGAACGGAGGAGGAGGGAGGGGAGGGAGACCGCATGGGGTAGGGAGGTGGGGGGGGTTGGGGAAGGGGGAGGGTTGGGAGGAGGGAGCGGCGTGTGGGAGGGGGAAGACGGCATGGGCGGTGTGGGAGGGGGGAGACGGCGTGTGGGAGGGGAGGGAGGCAGCGTGGGGCAGGCAGGTGAGGAGCGGGGGGAAGGGGGGAGGGGAGGGGAGGGAGACGCGTGGGGAGGGAGGTGGCGTGTGGGAGGGGGGTTGCGTGGGGAGGGAGGTGAGAGAGGGGAGGGATGGCTGGCGTGGGGTAGGGAGGTGGGGGGGGGGGGGAGGGAGCGAGTGGTGGAGGGAGGCGGCGCGGAGGAAGGGCAAAGGGGACTGGCAACATGAGGAGGGAGGTGAAGGGAGGGCAAAATCGGGATTTTGGACTGGAGGGGCCTCGACGTAATTTTTTTAAAAATGAGGGGCTACAACACTTAGGGAAAGTAAGGGGGGCTGCAACATAATGAAATTGAGTTTTGGGGTCTTTAAGCAATTTTTCCATAAAAATTAATAATTATAAAATATTGATGATAGTATCATGTTCAATAATAAAACAATAATAGAATAATAATATTATAATAATATATTGTATAGTAAATGTAATATAATATGTAAAATATTATTTTATTACATAATAAATAATATACTATATTATAAAGTAAAATAATTTTTAATACTAAAACTAGTTATTGCTAAGAAATGTTAATGTAAAAATAATATATTCATAATATAATAATATTTAGTTATGTCATAAATTATTAATATATTACTAAAGTATTATTAATAAACTCTAACATATTAGAAACTATAATATATTATATAATGTTAAAATATTTATAATATATTAATTTATTAATAATATACTAGTGAATAACAAATACTAATATTATTAATAATATTATATATTAATAATAGTATAATATTATATTGATAATAAAATAAAATTATTTTAAAATTATTATATAATATATAACAATAAAAAATTGATATACCAAAATAATTAAATATATTATTATTTAAAAATAATTTAATAAGTATATTATAATATAATTTATTAAATTACAATAATATATTATATTATATTATATTTAATATTAAATATATTATAATAAATGTATAATAAATATTATAACATATAATTTATAAAATATTTCTATTATAATTAATATATAATATATTAATAATATGTTTAATACTAATTTTATAACGGGTCAAATTAGTGTTAACTAAAGACACTCAACATGATGTTTTGAAAACATTTTAGGGAGAAAACACAATATCATGGTATTTTTTACAAAAACACAACAAAAAAAAAAACACCATGGTATCCGAACGAAGCCTAAATGTTTCGTCTGCCCTTTAAACTGTCACCTGCAATATAATGTCCGGAATTAGCGTTGGGTCCTCTGCTTATACTTGTTGATGGAGATATTAGTGTTTTGGCTTCCAGTTGCTTGCCAAACTTCACTTTCTTTGTAGAAATTATTGAACCCTGTTATTCGTCCAATTTATTGGTTGGACGTAATGTATCAAAACCTAATAATGCACAAAACATTTTTGGAGATGTGACTTCATCGTAACAGTTTGTTCTTCAGGGTGAGGATTTTGAGAACTAAGTGAGGGTGATGTGCCTCGTTCTCTTATTCATACTTTGACCTTTATAGTAGTGAGCCCGTGTCTAGAAACTGATTTTCTTTCCCATCTGTTTTCCTCTTTATTCTTGCTCCATTTCCTAATGACGCTCAAACATGAGAAGGGAGATGAGTATTTTGTTCACGCATTTATTTCGTTTTATTTCTTACATTGTATTCTCACATAACTCAATTCCAGTGTACCAAATGAGACATTACCCTAGCAACTCTCCACAGTGAGCAGAAGCCTGCAAATTGAAGTCTGCAACTTTTGATTTTATTGAATGCTATTAGTAAAACCCTTGTTAATTATCTTATTTTCAAATCCATTGAAACTGCATGTCATCCTATGCTCCAACAGAGATGCGGCACGTGAGTCTTATAATTGTGGCTTCTTCCTACAAAATTCAGGTCTTTTAACAACTTTGATTTTATTTATAGAATAAAGAATTTTTCTGCAAATTCTCTGTTACATCAGATTCCAGCGTATATTCTTTAATACTTGTACCTGCAGTAGACTAACTGAGTAAATAATCCCATGTGCTGCTCTTTGTTTGGGTAGATAGTTGCGGGGGTCCTTGTATTAAAGAAACTAATAGACAAAGAAGATTATATAATAGAATATAGATCTCTTTCACCAATTTATTTATTTAGGCATCTTCAATCATTTTCCTTCTTTTCCTCTCCAGCTCATTTGACAAGGATATGGGCTGGGCGATTGGATTGGTATCAATTCTCAGAGCAAATTGAGAAATCTAGTCGCTGAAACATTGCGCTTTGTTGCTCACAGCTAAACTCGTTACCAACACAGGCTTGTAGCTAAAACATTGTTTAATGAAGCGCACAAGGCTAAGAATAAGCCTCCAGATTATATTCATCTCTCTTTCAATTTCACACTCTCTTCCTGTACTCTGTTATTTTCTTAAATATAAACTAGGATTAATTGTGAATAGACCCTCTATTGTGTCACCAAATTGTAAGCAGACCCTTTATAGTTCTATTCGTTGTAAATAGAACCTTGTAGGATCAGCACAAGTGCAAAGATTGACCATCTTTCGAGTTATATATATAATAATATATATTATAGTATATATATATATATATTATATATATAATATATATAGAGAGCAAAGAGAGAGATCACTAGACTGGAGAGAGAGAAATAGAGAAACTCCCTTCTGGTACCAAGTGTTTGCTCCATTGAACCAAGTTCTTCTCCATTGAAACTTGTAGTAGTTATGATGTGGACACTTAATTGTATCCTTAACATCTACATATATAGTAGACTCCCGTAAAAGTTGACTGGACTCTAATTTCGAATACCTATGCATGTAGGCAGGATGTAGATATCAGTTCACATCACTACCAAAGTTTAATGGGCAGCAACTTAGTACCAGCGGGTTCTCCATTTTTTCTCTATTATATATAATATATATTATATATATATATATATATTATAATACTAATATATATGAAAAGTGTTCCTAAGGTGACGCCATAGATAATCATCTAAGGACGCAGCCTAAAATCACATGATTAAGCTATATTATGGATGTTCCGCTCCATTGAACTTGATCTACATATTCTAAAACCCCAACACACCAAGTTTGGGGTGAACCCGTCGTCGTTTGACCCTTTATCTACTTGTATCAATTTGAACAGTTTTGAATGAATACAACTTTTCACATGGCTCGACGAAGGGTCAAACGAAGATGAGTTCACCCCAAACTTGGTGTGTTGTGGTTTT